CCTGTGTGATGAATGGACATGGCGGACTAAATATACGTCGGCACTCTTTTTTATCCTGGGAAGAATAGCTGAGCAAGCAATTTCGTTTCGTTGCCATGTATCATGAACATGTCCTGCTATCGCGGTAACATAAAATTGACGTCATCGGTGGTATGGATAGATAGGAGAGAGGGAAAGCTGTGCCTCTTTACCATTACAGAATTCTAAGGGGCTCTTGGTGTGAATTCCAGTTGGAGGCACCTTCCGCGATAAAATAGGGCTATAACCTCTCAAATGTGTCAGATGATCCGGAAGGCGATTCTGGAGGCTGTGCTACCTTCAAAAGTGAAAATTGGCAAGAACTCCGCTGGAAGCTGGCCAATTAGGCCATTGAGAACCCCTTAGGCCCATACCGAACCCCACCGTCTGTCTCTCTCTCCATTTCGAATGGTGAGATTGAGGTGATAAGATAAAAGAGCTGATATCGTTATGATAACGACGAGAGGAAATTCGTACAAACACGCCTTCTCTTCTTTGCATGCACATACAGTCGGGTTCGGCATGGAGTCCTATTAGGGTACTTCGGACTGTTTTTCTGTATCCTTTCAGTTAATAGTCAGTTACCAAGAACTTTGTCGTTTGTACTTGAGCCTTGTTATCCGCAACCTGTGGTCGCGAGCTTTGGCTTTTGATAGTCTGATGTTTGGTATTATTAACAGGACGTGGTTAGCTAAGCGGAGTGTTGGTTGCCGGCCGGCAGTCGACCTTCACTCCCATGCCTTCCCATTTCAGTTGACATTCGACGTTCTTAAGAGTTGTGCTAAAGAGTTTGAGCGAGCTGATGTCGCCCTATCGTACGAATCTCTTTACGTCGATAATGGTCTCCTTGCAGAATGGTAGAATCTCAGACGAGAAGCTGCTATAGAGATCACGAAGAACTTTATACATTGATGAGATACACCTAGGTTGCCCAGAACTTCACTATTCGCTCTGGTCAATGTCGGAAGCCTTATTAAAGTAAGTACATAGACCTGAGACATGACGGCATTTCATTCTCGCGACATCTCGCTAAGGCTCGTGACCGTATGGTGGTACTGAACCCTCTTCTCGAGCCTGCTTGCTTGCTTGGCTGTCCCTCACCTAGTGTTCTGCCAAATGTACTGAGGATGACTTGAAACAGGCAGATGGCAGGCTTGACTCGTGAAAAAGTGCCCATAACTCATTGTGGTGAAACGATAGGATGATTGGTCATTCTGGAACCATCAACGCTTGGCTTTGGAATAAAAAAAGGGCAAGGCTCTCTTCGTCGATTGAACTTTTGTTTAATGTCGGTCGTAAAA